CCTACAGCTTTGAAGATACGGGGCGCGGGCTAGAAATCAGGATGTTATCTTTAGTCAACCCAACACCCCGCTTCCACCCGATCCTGGTAGCCAGCAGTCGACTGCCCTGAGCTTGACAGGTCAGGTCAGTGTGTGCCTGCGGGATACGGATGAAAGGCGCTGTCGGGTCACGGCTGGTGGATGGTGCTCAGTGCACGCGGGTCATCACTCATCAGTGCTGAGCGGAGGGCGGAGAGGCAGCATAGTGATCGCAATTTCTGCTCTGTGGTTGCTCTGTGGTTCTAAGGGGATGTCTCGCGAACTGTTCGATCAGAGGTTCCGGGAGTGGGAGGAAGCGTTGAGCGGCAATAACTCGAGTCGTGGAAGACGCCGAACATGGCAACGTCATCCGCTTTCTGATGGACGCCAGACCGGTGGAGGACAGGCCGCTGACGTCCAAGGAAAGGCGGTGGATGGCAACGTAACATGCTGTCGACTACAAGAAAAAATGCAGACATTAATCTGTAAGGTGATATTTGCGAGCAAGACAAAATAAATAGTAAGCTGCGAAAGAGCGTCATCGAAACACCACATTGTCTCGTTTATATGCACCATTGCTGCCAAGCCTCATTCTGAGCTCTGAACCAATTCATCGAGTCTTATCTACATATGTAGGTACTCGTATATGGCTGTTGTTTCGTCGTTTTCGCATTTTACCTAGGTAGTTTGCAACAACCCTAGGGAGTTTGCAAACTACCTGTTCGACCAGGTACTTTGCAAACTACCTAGGGAGTTTGCAAACTACCTGATCGTTCAGGGAGTTTGCAAACTCCCTAGGTAGTTTGCAAACTAACTGATTTCTCATACTCCCTGTAACATATACACTCGGAATCTATGGTTTGTTAGTGTTACATCGTTAAGGATAATCAAAAGATACTTATGATGATACGAAATCTTATGTCAGTAGCGGCGGAACACCTTCAATTAACCCTCGCCCTGGCAGGGGGGGGTCGATGCGACCCCCCCTAAGGTTTTTCGAAGATAGCGTAAAAACGGCGCCGCCAAATTTGGCACAGCCTATGGGGCAACCTTTTTACATATGACCTGAAAATTTCAGGTCCGGGTGACCTTGGGTCAGGTCACCAGGTCAGAAAAACCGGTACAAGGTCATTGTCAAATTTCAATTTTCTTTTTGCACCTGTCCAACTCACAGTTTTGGACTGATTTCCTTCAAACTTTCAGGATGTGCTAAGTTCACCGAGTTGTATAACATATAGTTCGGGTTTTTTGAGGTCACTGACCTGAGGTCAGTCAGAGGTCATTACGTCGTAATGTTGAGCCTATGGGAAAATACTAAATTCTGAAAATACTGGAGATATCCGCTTCGTTCTATCACTTTTGTGCTTTGAAACCACATTACTTAAAGGAAAAGTGCCACCTTCGTGAAATATGAAGATATCGTTGCTTTTCATTTTGACATTATTATTTTTCATGTTCTTTTTAAATCTGGTGCCAGAAGTGCATAATTCGCAAAAAAGTATGTCGAACTATTTAACATATCTATATTACTATTTGTGGTGACGTAGTTTCTGTCTGTTACCGAGGTCGCGACATGGTGCGCTACGTAGCGCGGGTTACAGGTCAGACCGTTGCACCCAGCGCGCTGAAATTCGCACTACTTATAGATCAAGGATGGACAACGTGACTTTGGGGGGTCTCGGCTCGATCGGATCGATAGCGAGCGCGTGGCGCGTGCCCAAAAAGTGCAAATTCGCGTCATAGACTTTACATGTATAAATCGGCTTGCAAAATCGGGCAAAAATGGCTAAATTTGCCCGACACGGGTCCGGTCCCCGTGCAATATCTCGGTAACCGTGCGCCCGATCGTCACGGGGAAAACAGCATCGTGTAGAGAATCGAACGGGCTATCGAATGGTGTGCGGTGCAGGGGATGGCACGCACCACGTGCACAGGTGAGGGCAATTTCATTTCAAAAAGTGCCGTTTTAAATGGATTTTGGATTTTATTTTATTTTTACGTGGCCGTCGGACTGAAAGAGTTAAAACAATGCCTATAGGCAAGCGAAATGTACCGTCTCTCATGGAAAAATTGTGAAAAGCTAATTGATCAAAAACAAGGAGGAACAAATCGCTGGAGAAAATGGTATTTGTCCATAATGTGCCACTAAATAATTACACGGGGTTTGCTGCTTAACCCGCGCCCCACTGGGGTCTGCGTATAACACGCCCTACTGGGGGGGGGGGGGGGGGGGGGCTATTCATAGCCCCCCCCCTCCTAACTCCGAAACTACTGGGCCGATCGTCAAAATTCAAACGGCGTCTGATAGCCCCGGAAAAACTGTCGAACGAAACCTAATTTCATTGACGTCGAGGTCACCGATGACGTCACAGGTCAGGTCAAAGTAAAAATTATTAGCATTTTCGCTTCTTCACGTTTTGGGCTCTGGCCGCCGTCTTACAAGTCAGATCAGGCTCATTTTGGGTTCACACACTCGTGAACAGATGCTCTAGATACTCTGAGGGTACCAAACTTGTACTTTGATTTTCAGGTCAAGGTCAGGTCATCACAGGTCACGAAAATATTATATCATCCATCGGTCACGTGACACATGTTTTATGGCTCATTTAGGTCAGAGATTTCGAATTTGATGTCGTTTGTGTCATTCGAGGTCATTTTGAGTCAAATTTAGCTCAGGTCAGGTCACTTTCAGGTCAAAAAAGGTCAAATTTTGAAGTTGAAAATTTTCAACAAAAAGGTGTCTATTGGATGCAGTTTGAGCTCAGGAACACGATGGTGCTATTTATATTGGCGTACGATGTCAAATTCATGCTGAAAAATTGATTTGAAGAATTAATAATCGTTAATTTTTTTGCAATAATGCGTATAACTTGGCCATTTTTGAAGATTTTTAGCTAAAACTTGCTAGAGTTAGTCATAATAATGCGTTCTATCACATATATTCCGGTCTTTTCGAAAAGTCAAAAAATTTCTGAAAAAATGTAAAAATATAAATTTTGAGTTTTATTATATAAAATTTTCGAAATTTTCAAAATTTCGAAAATCCGAGATAGCAGTTTGATAGTGCAGTCTATTCTGAGTCCTCTCATGCAAAGAAATTGGATCTAGCTTAAAAACTGAGCTCTTGGGAGCGATTGCCGTGGTTCAATGTTTTGCGTCGAAATCGGCCGAACATGACGTCACTCTGACGTCATTTCTGGGCGACCTATGGTAGGTACGAAGTTCAAATTTTGATACAAGGTGTCAAATTGATGCAGCCGAAGGTACTGAAAGTTTGGCGTCGATACGTCAAGCGGTTTGGAAGTTATTGCAGAAAAACGGGAGGGGGGGCTATAAATAGCCCCCCCCCCCAGTGGGGCGCGGGTTAACCTGATACGGTTGACAATTGAAAATGCTATCATTAGAAACACTATTCAATTTCCTTCAAGATCCAATTATCACGTTTGCATGACAAGCAACGGTATTCTTAAAAATATAAATGTTTCAAACCTCTGCAAATCCATTTTTAGCGAAAATTATCTACGCCTTTCATTTGTCATAAAACTACGCACCTCAATTATAAAACACATTTGACAGATTCTGAAGTGGAAAGCATGCTTATCAGACACGGGAACCTCGATGCGGTGGATATTTTTTCCAAACCAAAACGTTTAGCCGTCAAAAAGCAATCGACCGAAATGGATATATAACCCAACCGACACAAGAACAGCCAAACACCCACCGATCGAAAATACCCCTTTTCGCGTTGCGGAGCACGCGGGTCACCCTAGTTGGTACTATGTTTGTACTCTACCGCACCTTCTGTATGATGTCATAGCGATGACATCACACTCAAGCCAATCAGCCTTCAGAAGACAGTCTCGTCGGCTTGTGTCAGATTAGACTGAGCTGATTGGAGCTGATTGGCTAAAAACCAAAGCCTCGCCGCGCCCGCGGGTGGCTGTATTACAGGATAAGAACGCATTCCTGGGATAAGGACGCATTCCTGGCATATTTTCTTTTAAAATTGCCGATACCTACAAATGGAGGTCGAAATCGGCCGTAAGGTGGGACACTCTCGGGGTTTTCGGACACGGGCTACAAGATGGCCATCTCAGATTCAAACCCCATGTTAAAGGTGACCCTTTTCCTTTAACAGCAGGTCACTTGGTGCTTCTTTGTTTGGGGTACTTATCCATGGGTCAGGTCAAATGAGGTCAACTGAGGTCAAATGACGTTTTTGCCAATAACTTGGCACATAGTGACGCTAGAGCTTAAAAAATGGTGTCGTTGTGTTCCTGGTGATCAGCCGAATCGAATGATATGCGATATGATGCAAGTTGGTTGACTTGAACTTAATTAAGTAATGAAAGTTTACTTAAAAATTAGCAAGCTAAAAATTAAGCAAGCTAAAAAGTATATCATTCGACGCGCCTTGACGTGCTGAGTTCACTGGTGCTTTTATTTTTGCTCTATCTTAATTAGATCAAAAGGTATAAGCGAAAAACTTTTGACCTGTTTTTAAACTTATACCCCCCCAAACCCCGCTAAATATTGACCTAGAGCATCCAAATTTGCACAGGGGCGAGAACTCCAGGGGGCCCACCTACCTACCAAATTTGGTGTTTCTAGGTGCCATAGGAGCCAATCGCGAGGGGGGGGGGGGGGTCGCATCGACCCCCCTGCCAGGCCGTGTTATGAAAAATTCCCTGCCAGGGCGAGGGTTAAGGGGGGGGGGGGCATTGCCGACTTTTGGTCCCATTCTTACCATGCAACGCCCATAGGGCTAATGTTAAAATGCCAAAATCAAAGGGGGGTACGGTGCCCCGGTGCCCTCCCCGTTCCGCCGCCTATGATATATGATATGATATTGAGTTTCATTATAGCAATAATTAATACCTACTCACGAAATTACCGTTTCTACCTCACATTTCACATTCACAGCAGTTCACAAGCCTCCCAGGAATCAAAGCACGATTATTTCAAGTATTTTTCGACACACATTTGAAGCAGCATAGACCTTATCATTGACGTAAATCACTTGTCAGCAAATTTTTAGTCTGCTCTCTTTAGCCATGTTCAAAAATTTTGCACACATAGGTATTTATTCAATCGGCCTTTTATAACCCGGCATTTTTACGAATTCCCAAAATGATAACTTAATGCAGACAGGAAGGCTGGTTGACGGTTGTTCTCATCACAATGCAATATCAGAAATGAAAATTTACTCTTCAACAATGAAAATACTAACTACCACTGTGGAAATAAGTGTGGATTTGGATATGCGGGTGATCTGCGCTACGTTCGCTATTGCTCTACTCCTTCCACTTCTGTTCAGCTACTTGCGAAGATATCTCTACGGCATCGCATTTCGGGAATAGTAAGTACAGTCATACAGTGAGTGGCACACAATTTCGCAACACGTGAGTGGTGATTATAGAAGTAAGAAGCAATGTCCCTCTCGTGCTGGGCACAGCATATAGCAGCAGATATGTTTTACGCCCACTTGTTCACTACGTTTTCATGACACGTATATAAATCTATTTAGAGAAATTTCACGTGCATTTTTCGGATGCTATTCAACTTATGCAAAAATCGAACGTATATATGGCTTTAGCTAGGACCTAATCCTATATTTACATTTTTAAATGTCGCCTAAATGCTATGATCGAGCAAATCCATTTTACAAAATCGGCTTGCCTTGTGTCATGGAAACGTAGCCATTTATGCTCACCGCTGGCCAGTGGTCATGTTGACGTTTCAACCTTGTGATAGAATGTCGTCATGTCGTCAAAATAAGAGCAGTCTTTGGCTTTCATTCGATATTTTAGTCTTTACCAGTAGCTGCTCTATTTTTATGACTAGGTATATAGGTTCCATGCTCATTTCAACCACAAACAGTTAATTTAAGTCTTAAAGGAAGACTGCCACCTTCAAAAAGTTTTCTCAGATCGGCCTATGATTTATTGCCTGGACAAAACAAAATTTTAGAATTCACCTGACAAAGTATCATCACGTGAATCGCGAAAAAAATTGTCAATTATCATACAATTATCAATCGGTTAATGTCTAGCGACAATGTTTACACATCACTAGACTTCAAGGTCATAAGATTATTACATTTTATTTGAAAAAGTAAGGTATTTTATGATTTACTAATATATGATTTCATAAGAAATTGGCCATGTTTAATTTATTTTGCATTTAAGTTCGTAAAACATTTAAAAATCATGGCTGATTTGGAATGGGTCTGGCCCATGTTAAACCCCATTTCCCACACTTTTTTTTGGAAAAAATGAACTGCTGAATATATAAGTTTAACTTTTATTTTGACACTCCAAAATTCTTCTCTGATCTCGAAACAATCAAAGTTTTGACATATATTTACCAAAAGATAAGAAAATTCATGTTTCAAAGTTATCGATAAACAGTAGAGATGTCGGTTTTCTTGGACTAAAAAAATGGCATCAAACTGAACTTTGGTCTCCGATTTCTCGCAAACGGGTTCGAATTTCGGAAAACCGACTTCAGTCTGGGACATAGGTGGCTCAGCTCTAGTGAAAACCGTTTTGTGGAAAAAAGGTTTTTTTTTATAAATTTAGTCCGAATGGTTGAATGGGTGGATTTGAGGAATCAGAGCCCGCACTAAGCATAGCTTGTTGTGCTGACCCTGACCCCACCACCCGATCGCGCAATTCCAGTTGTATGGCAGAATTTTGTCCGAACGTTTAACGTGCCCTCACGACTGGACACGGCCCCCTCCGCTCACTCACGTTACCTGGCTACTGTGCGGCCCCTGCCACAGACACGCACGCCATTACACGTAGGAGATAAATGTGGCCGCCCGCACCGGGGCTTGAACCGGGCTCTCACTACCGGCTAAGCGTCGAATTCCGGCGCTTCAATCCACTCGGCCACGGAGGGGACTGTCGAAAGGAAAGGACGAAAGGTGGCAGTCTACCTTTAACAATATTTTTACTTTTACTTTGATAAGAGTAGATAATGCATCGGAATTATTTTGAAATATAATAAAACCGTTACACGTTGCAAAACGGCTTGGAGCATCACATTTGCAGCTTGTCACAGCAGAAACCTATTTATAACCTGGTGACGGTACAAATCGAGAGCATCCGCAATTAGCATGACTTTCTGCAATGCACACTTTGCTTCTCACCGTGCATGTACCCACCGGAATATAATGGGCCATTTCGGCAAGTAGCGCCTACGTCGGCGGAGACTGATGCGATTCATCTGTGCAGCAGCGGCTGCGCTACTGCGGTCGGGAGAGAAAATCACCGGCCTGTCCGTGCCCAGAGGACGTGTCGAGTTGTAAATCCCAGCGTGTGTCTGAGAGCTACCGCCGTCCCACTCTGTTCCCAGATGGTCGCAGTTCGTCACTGCATGCACGGTTCAGTTAGAGGATGATTACAGCCACCGCCGGATCTTAGCGGACAGCAGTGAACAACCATAGACACCGCTGGACAATAGCAGATACTATCCGGACAACACGGACGGCGGGTACCGGACTACAGCAAATATCACCGGCAGGACAGCAGTGGACACCGGACAACAGCAGACAGTGGACAGCAATGGACACTGCCGAACAGCGGTGAACATATTGGACAGCAGCGGACAAAGGGCAGCACCAGACAGAAGCGAACACCGAAAAGTGACGGACACTGGATAGAAGTGGACACCGGCAAGATGTGGGCACCCGTCCGACGAAAAACGGACACCAGTCGCTGCTGACCGAGTACCGACCGAGGGTCCATGGGTTAGTTCGACCCATGCAGCTACTGCCGCTGACGCCGTGTTTCTGAGCTCCAGACAGGGAACGCACAGTCTTTTATGTCGAATTTCTTGCAACAACTAAATAGCTTGGATATATTACTTTGAGGTGATTGATCCATCCGTCATATCTACATTTTCTCCACGGATTAGCACGTTTCTGATGACCGTCACCCGTCAGGTCAGGTTACTAAAATCATCCGCTGCCGGGACGGTCACGAGTCTAATAGTGAAAGCCCATGGCATACCTTCATCCGCTTTCCGTTGACGATATTTCAGCCTCAACGCAATTAGAACACTGAAACAATAGAAATGAGAGGACGAGGAATCTGTTGTTTTTATCTCAATGTCTGATGGCACGAAAGGAGCAAGCATTTATGAAACGGTCCTACATCTAACGCGATGTCTTCAACGACGAACCGTTTCAGGGCTTGTGTAGTGTGCACCCCGCGGACCGTTGGCTATGGGACGGCTCAGTGCACGGCAGACGATTACCGGGGTATGTAGACGGGTCGTGACCCTATATGGCGCCGCGCCGCGCGCTCCGTCGCCACCGGCGCCACCGTTCCGCCGGCGGCGACGCGGCCCACCGCCGGCGGCACATCGTCGGCGTCGGCTTTCAGGCCGGGCGCGGCGCCAATTAGTGGTCGGGGCGCGGCGGCGGTGATTTACCGGCGCTGGAGGAGGTGTCGCGCCGCGGCGGCACCGTTTGTCGTCGTCGTGCCGCTCTGCTGCCATATGCTGCCAGATGGGCGTGTCTCCTGCGGGGGGGGGGGGGGGGGGTCCCACGCAGGCGGGATACCGACTGATGAGCAGATGTCAGATAGTTGACCGTTAATGATTCGCTGCGCTGCGTTAAGGCAAATTAACAACTCAAACAATGTGTAAGATCCCATATCAATGTTTGGCTTCAACGGTCCCAGAGGGAATTACATCATGGTAGAAGGGGTTAAGCTCAACTGAATTCGCGCCTCCGACTATACCTACCCGGGACTGAATTTGCTATTTACAGAGCAAATGCAAAGGATCGGTTTTATCGTACGATTACCTACCAAATTTGAGTCGTCTTATAAAACAGTTCTTTGCTTATCTACTTAGAATGATCAAAATGATAAATCAGCGTACCGGGAGCCCAGGTCAAGGCTATGTCAAAGACGATAAAAGCCCGAAGCTGGTCGAGGAAGGTCATGCGGTTTATCATTTGATTTGGCAACTTATCCTGTGTTTACCCCTTGCTGCCTTTTCAGACTCATGCAGTCACTTATGTAGGTACTCAATTTGATCGGGAGAGTCGGAGACTATCTTCCATTTCGGTTTCGGGCTAGAGACTGAGCGGAAAAATTATCAAAACCAATTATTTCGGCTTTACCGTGTTGCCTTGTTCACAGTCTGGTTCACTGGTTTACCGGTTTTCACTGGTTCAAAGCAGTAAACAAGGCAAGTGAATAAAGCCAAAATATTCGGTTTTAATATTTTTTTTTTTCGCCTTAGTGCATCCCGAAACTACAACAAAAGATAGGTAAAGCCATTTTCACGACGACCATCTGGTACACATTTCGTGCAGATTAGGAGCAGATTAGGTGCAGATTTAGTCAAATTAGGTTCAGTGTGTTTCTTAAAAGTTATCAGTTTGGGCTGAACATGTGCTTAGTGCTTACCTACTTATAGGGGAAGCCGGGGGAAGCCCGGCATAGTAAGCTCTTTTTCATTTTTATTACATACCATACGTGCTGTATAAAATGTTGATATCCTGTTAGCTAGCTAAGTTCATTGGCCGTGTCTTCCCAAAAATTCGGTTTCGTGGAACAAGTATAAGGTTGAGAAAATCGAGTTTTAAAAAAGTGTTGATTTTTCTGGGGTAAGCCCGGCATAGGGGTAACGCCGGCCACCTCCCCAGCGCTTTACAACGAGTTGATGAATGATGAAACCATTATCTGTCTTCCAGATATTAACGGAAAGTGAAATATTAAGGTACTAATTAGCTCTGGACATCTTAGAGTTTATGTCACTACTGGTATTTTAGCTAGCGTCTACCACATATACAGTACAGGTCGATGAAAATCGTGATGCAAAATTGACAAAAAAATGTGTATTTCAAAATTCCTTAAAATTTATTTTTCTTTTTACCTTAATGCATCATATTACATATCATTCGACTCGGCTGATAAAGAAGAACACAACGACACCATTTTTGAAGCTCTAGCTTCATTGTCTGTCGCGTTATCTGCAAAAACGTAGATTGACCCTAGTTGACCTTAAGTGACATGACTGGCTTTGTCTATGATAACATGTTTATTTTCGAAATTTATCTTTGATCTAGGTGTAAACCAAACCTGCTCAGTACCTACCTATTATCTCATGGAAAACAGTGGTTTAGTGGCATTGCTCTCGGTTGGGGGTAGGCTTGGCCACTCGCCCGGGGTTACCCCAATGTGCTAATTTTTATTTTAGAACAGCGATGTTCGAAAAAATGTCATACTTAAGCCAGCCTGCCTCGTCACCCCTCACTACAAACACTTAAACGATCCTTACAAAACATTCGTATAAATATTAGTACGGTATGGTATAACATTAACAGTGCAACACATCTCACTTTTTAGCTAAAAATCCTTTAAATATCATTTTTGCTCTATAACTTTAACAATATGCAATTTTTGTTAGCCTTAACTTTTTTGCTGGCGTTACCTTAGCTGCCACGCTGAAAGGACAAACAGTTGAGCATTTTATTGTGAATAATTTAGCCGGAAACGGGGTGGCCGGGCTTCCCCCGCGCCCGGGCTTCCCCCGGCTTCCCCTATACCTCACTTTTCAAATTATCAGACTTTATTTTCTATTAGAACACCGAAACAAATTCATGATACGAAGATATTTATTGTAAAAGAGATTTGGTGCAGATTTGGTCAAATTAGGTGCATAATACATTCGCCAGACAACCCGTCGTGAAAACGGCTTATCATTCAGGTACCCAAAGAAAATATAAAAATGAGACTGCGTCAACGGTCGGGAGGTATTGACGACATTTACGGTTCCATGAACAGTGAACAGTGAATTTAGCAGGGCTGCGGAGTCTTGGAGTCGGAGTGGGAGTCGGTCGGAGTTGACAGTTCTGGCCGGAGTCGGGGTTGATTTTGGAAGCCGGAGCTGGAGTCGGAGTCGAAGCTATATCAAAAATTAATCGACTCCGTAGCAGACTTGTGCCATGACCAAAAATCAAGATCCAGGATCCTCAAGGTCCCCCGGCAAATTCAATTTCTAGAATCCAAGGTTTCGAAGGTCCCACGGCAAATTCAATTTCTAGAATCCAAGGTTTCCAAGGTCCCACGGCAAATTCAATTTCTAGAATCCAAGGTTTCCAAGGTCCCACGGCAAATTCAATTTCTAGAATCCAAGGTTTCCAAGGTCCCACGGCAAATTCAATTTCTAGAATCCAAGGTTTCCAAGGTCCCATGGCAAATTCAATTTCTAGAATCAAGGTTTCCAAGGTCCCACGGCAAATTCAATTTCTAGAATCCAAGGTTTCCAAGGTCCCACGGCAAGTATACATTGCAGGATCCAGAGTCCCCAAGGTCCCATAACAAGTATACACTTCAGAGTTCAGGGTCCACAGTCCTCAAGGTCCCACGGCAAGAACACCTACATCTCAGGATCCAAAGTATTCAGGGTCCCACAACAAGAACTTGAACTAACATTCTGATGAGCAGACTTACTTCTAAATATGCCAACGGATGCCCAGCAATGAGCAACATTGAAAGGGGCAGAACCTATGCAAACCTGTGGTGGTTTTATCATTTACCAACATAGGTAGGGGGAGCTTCAACACAAGTTAAAGATAAATCAAAATATCAATCTCTCCTTCTTTAGCCTGACAAATTCATAAAAATATAGGTAGGTAATAGGTACCTTGCATTTTGTATGATTTTGTATTGTCATGCCCCTTTCAAATCAATCTTACGCTTACCTGATCATTAAGAATGTAGGATAGCACCTTGACCTTACAGTTATTGAAGACATACATCCAAGTATTCTTTCAGGCAATATAAAAAACCAGAAATAAAACCTACAGGCTTCAAAAAATGGAAACATTGAATTGGATAGGTATATGCTCTTTCGATTTTCTGCACATTACGTAATACCTTGGATAAAAACTCAAATATGTTCTAAGTCTTGTTTGCGCGAGCGCTAACAGAAAAACTGATCGACAAAGCCAATAGAATTAGAGCATCAGCGAGCGCAAACCTTACTTACTGCTCATTCACATTGACTTGAAGGCTCTGAACAAAATCCCACCTGACAATTTTTCTCGTCAGACGGTTCTTCGTCGACAGATTTTCGTCCGACTTTTTCGTCTTGCATTTTTTCGTCTGTACGAATTGATTTGGTGCATTTTTCGTCTGAGTATTTTTCTGTCCGGGATTTTTTCGTCTATACGAGGCGGAAAATGTCCTTACGAAAAAATGCGCGAACCTAAAAATGCACAGACGAAAAAATGCATAGACGAAACGAAAGTCTGCGGACGAAAATCTGCAGACGAAAAATTTAAAATTGTCCGACGAAAACCTGCTAAACGAAAAAGCTGAACTGACATGGAATCATTGCTTATATTGGATGCCCATTGCTCAATGATGATTTGATGACTTGCAAATCAAATAAGTTTGACACTTGGTCAAGTGGGTAGCTTCCAAGTAGCTTCAAGCCCGGCATATCACAACCCAGAAAATATGTGAGGTGAGATTAGAAAAGAGTTTTCCAAACCACCACTGTCCACTGTTTGCCGTTTGGCAGTTTCATAATCCATAACATTGATAATGTAAAAAGCTACCAGGTCTCTTGTTCCAGTTCTGCCTCACAGCCATGACAACCATTTGGCTCTATATATGTCTACACAGTCTGGTTCATTTTCTCTTCATGTATCTATCTTAGCCCCCTGCAGCTGGTCGCTCAACCATAGATATTTATTGAAGTGTCTACAGACAAAATCTAGTGCAGGGTCCTTAGTGGCCCATGTGCAAAATAAACCTCATGGTTCAGCTTCCAGGATTCTTGAGATCCGTAAGTCCCGGCCCTTCTCCTAAGATCCCATGACAAATAATAAAACTGGGACTGAAGTTCTGCATTCTGCAGGGTCTTGCAGCATACCAAAATTTTGAGGTCCTGTCCCCTGGGTTTCCATGGTTTCACGGCATATGAAATGTTGAGGTCCTGGGTTTCTAAGGTCTCATGTCACATGAAATGTTGATGTCCTGGGATTCCAAGGTCTCGCGGCATATGCAAATGTTGAGGTCCTGGGATTCCAAGGTCTCGCGACATATGCAGATGTTGAGGTCCTGG